TTAAATCTTTTCAAAATCAATACCATCTTTTGTCCACATTTGTTTTTGGTTTTCTTGTTTTTTTTTTTTTTTCATATAAATATTAGAATATCATTTCAGTTATTTTTCATGTTAATTTTTTTAATAATATTTTTGTTATCGCATGTCAGTTAACTACTTCCCTTGTTTCTTATTTTTGTTATACCCTACAACACTATGTGTTGGGGGTATTATAAGTTTGATTGGGCCAAAAATTATGTAACACCACGAAATATTGATTTCCCACATAGGAAAGTATATATGGATCTTCCTATCTCGCCGAGCTGAGTCGATCTAGCTATGTATGTCCGTCCGTCCGTCTGTCCGTCTGTCCGTCTGTCCGTCTGTCCATGTTAATTTGTAATCACTCTACAGGTCGCAATTATGGCCCGATCTTCACGAAATTTAGAATGTAGGTGGGGTTAGGGTCAGAATAGAACCCTATTGCTTTTGGAGATGATCGCCAAAAGTTTAGGGGTTGAAATGGACCAAATACTAAAAAAATGTCGGATTTTGCACTTGCTCTACAGGTCGCAATTATAGACCAATCGACGCGGAATTTCGCATGTAGCTAGAGTTTAGGGCTGGCAAGAAGCCTACCCATTTGGGTGGTCATCGGATAATATTTAGCGGGTAAAATAGACCATATCTTTTTTGTTGAAAAAATTCAAAATTTTTCATTAGACCGCGAATATTTTAAATCCCGGCGAAAGCACAAAGCCATGACAAGGTTACTTCTGATCTTTACATTGATGTTAACATCCAACAAAACGGATATATAGAAAAATATGTGCGATATATATGTTTATCAAAGAAGATATGCTTGAAAAATCTCTTATATGTCGAGAACGGCTGAACTGATTTCGACAGTTCTCATTAATTCAGAATGGCCCCTTGGCAGGAAACATAAAACGTCTAAAAAAATCGCATTAAATATCTCTCTAAAGATGAAAATATTGATTTTGTAAAATTTTCTCATATTTTTTCAATTTTGTCATATTTTTGGCATATTTTCATTTTGAATTAAACATTTGGTAATATTTCTACAGCTAACAAAACTAAGTAGTTAGGATATCAGGATATCATATACAGATCGCATTTATGGCCCGATCCTTACGCAATTTTGCATGGAGATAAGATGAGGGTCAGAATAAAAGCCTATTCTTTTTGGAGATGATCGCCATATATTTAGGGGTTGAAATGGACCAAAAAAATGCAAAATTGTCAGCAGGTCGTAATTATGGTGGTTATCGGACATTGCAAAAGCCAAGCAGTTTTGGATGGCCCTCTAAAAATATTCAATGTGTGAAGGAGTTTGCCAACTTTTATAGACAAAATACGAAAATGTCCATTTTAATTAATTTTTGGAGAATTCACAAATACAGGAAAGATGCACTTCTGACTATTTCGTTAACGCTGGTTTCGTTGAAGAATATAGTCAAATGTCTGTATCTCATATAGATGCGTTTCAGTCAAAAACCAATAATAAATGTAAATCTTTTGCCACTTCTGAGAGATTATAGGTCTTTGGGAAATATTGGTTCCAGATCTAGGAAGACCATTTACGTGCAACATCTACCAATATATTGGAAATGAGCAAATTAGTTTAAGTTGCTATTATTCGAAAATTAGAGAACGAAACCTGATGGTTTTCTTTTATTATTTGTCACAATATCTTGTGGATTTCTTTCGAGTATCTCGCCTATATTAACTGTATCGTTTATTATAGTGTTGTAGGGTATTCAACGGTCGGCCCCGCTCGACTGTAGCCTTTGCTTACTTGTTTTTAATCTAATTTTATCTGTGTAATTTTGTCATTTCTGTGTAACTATCTGCGTGTTTGGGTGTGTCTGTATTTACATTTCTATTTCTCTGTCTATGGAAAAACATGAATTGTCTTGGATTTTCAAGTTCATCTCTATTATGTGTTTTTTCTATTTTAAATTGCGGTTTTTTCTACATCTCCATATAAATTGGTCTCACATCATTTATTGTTATGTTTTGAAACCTTCAATTTTATTTTTGCATTTTTTTGCTGTTTTGAAAATGGATGGTATTTTTGCTACAATTTTTTTTGAAGGTTTACCTTTTTTTTTGTCGAAATATTACATGCGTGGATAGAGGGAGAGAGTGAGATGAACTAACTACGATGTTAAGGATGTTCACAACTTTAGATTTTTTTGCGAAAAGATTGCTGTTGATTGATTTTGATGATGAGTTGGATTGTTGTTTTTAGGTGGAAATGTGAAAGGAAGTTAAGAAATTAAACAAATAAATAAAAATGGATAAACAAAAACATGTTCACAAATACATTGCCCTCCCAAATATAAGCCCTGCTTTAAACTAGGCGAGTCTGCTTACTTCAATTTTTATCGTTCACTTTTGAACTTGCCAGTCCTTTGAACACTCCATCATTCTCAAGTATGTGGAGAACATAGGAAATGAGGCTATAGGCAGTGATTATATATCACTTCGGCAAAGCTTTAAATTACTTGATATCCATATACCTAACAGAGACGTCTGGACTCGCAACACTCCACCTTTTAATGGTATAGCTATCTATACTAATAGGTCACAGATGGAAAGTGGAACGGGAGCTGGGGTCTTCTGTCAAAGCCTAAGGATCCAAAGATCCTTCAAACTAAACAATGACTGCAGCGTTTTTCAAGCAGAAATCTTTGCTGTCAGGAAGGCCATAGAGATCTGCTGGCAAACAGAATCAATGAGCTGGATAGACGGGAGATTATATATGTCGATGGTCAAGTGGCCCTGATGGCTCTAAATTCTTTTACAATCAAATCTATAGCAGTTCTGGATTACAGGAATTCTCTGGAAAAGTTTAAGTCGTTTGTCAAACTCTGTTGGGTCCCTGAACACTGGGCAATGAATTGGCCAGACGCGGATCTGAGTCAGTAGATCTAGAGTTTGAGTTCAGCTCAGTGAAGCCACCTTTATGCCACTTATTCCAAATACTGCATAAACATTATCTTGGGAGATTTCAACAGAACTGGCTAACTGGAAGGGGATGTAATGTCTCCAAAACGATTTGGCCGGTGAACTCCGAAATGAGATCAAGGTCGCTCATATCCATGACGAAGTCGGACTTGAAGCTTGTGGTTCGTTTAATTTCAGGGCACTGCAACATAAGGGCCTTGACTTCCAAGTGAGGGGGGCGGGGAGGGGGTGACGATACTGAATAATGCAGGCTTTTTCAGGGCGAGGGGGAAACTGAGACGGTGGAGCACTTACTCTGCCACTGCCGATCTTTTGTCGGAGTAAGACAGATGCTACTGGGTAAACAAATTCTGCCGGACTTTTCCTTCCTCTCCGATACCGAGCCAGCGGTTATTCTTCAATTAGCCAGACGACTAAAATGCATAAGGACGACACGCTGATTACACCGTGGGTGCGAACCTACTTCCTTTTCCATTTCTATCCCCAAATTCACGCTTCCTCTTCACTATTCGTTTCCTTCCCTTTTTATACCCTCCACCATAGTATGGAGGCTATATTAAGTTTGTCATTCCGTTTGTAACACCTCGAAATATACATTTTAGACCCTTCAAAGTACATATATTCTTGATATAATTCTAAAAAATTCTATGTAGATTTAGCGATGTCTGCACGTCTATCCGTCTGTCCGTTTGTCCGTCTGTGGAAATCACTCTAGCTTCCGAACGAAATGAAGTATATTGATAAAATTTAACTCAAATGTATATTATGTCTGCAGGACTTTTGGTATGGGCCATGTAGGTCCACGTTTTGGTATAGCCCCCACATAACGTTACCTTCCGATATTCGGTATTTTGATGATTTTAGCGACATTATTTACCGGAATTATTTCAAATTTGGTATTTGATGTTCGAAATGGATGCTTCTGCCTAAGACAGAAAATTGTCTGTGCGGGTCCACGTCTTCGTATAGTCCCCAAATAACGATACCTGCCGATATTTGGTACTTTGAGGATTTTTGCGACATCATTAACCGGAACTATTTCAAATTTGGTATTTGAAGTTCGTAATGAATACTACATCCTAAAACAGAAAATTTTTTGTGCAGGTCCACGTCTTGCTATAACCCCCATATAACCGTACATCCCGATATTCGGTATTTTGACAATTTTAGTGACATTATTTACCGGAATTGTTTCAAATTTGGTTTTTGAAGTTCGAAATGGATACTACAGCCTAAGACAGAAAATTGTCTGTGCAGGTCCACGTTTTATAACCCCCGTGGTACCTCCCTATATTCGGTATTTTGATAATTTTAGCGACATTATCCACCGGAATTGTTTCAAATTTGGTATTTGAAATTCAAAATGGATACTTCAGCCTAAGACAGAAAATTGTCTGTGCAGGTCCGCGTTTTATAACCCCCATGGTACCTCCCTATATTCGGTATTTTGATGATTTTTGCGACATTATTTTTTATTTAAGATTTTTATTTAAGTTTCGCATTTGAATGTTGCAATGGCTTATGACAAAAGTTACCTATGCAGGAACATGTCGTCGTATAGACCCTAATATAACAGCTACATTCGAAATTATTAAGATTTTAACAGAATTTTTAACGGATTTTATTTTTTTGAAAATTGCCAAATTGGTACCAAATGGTGAAGGGTATTCAAAGTTCGGTCCGGCACGAACTTACAGCTTTTTTACTTGTTATTTCTATTATTGTATAAAAACACAAACACAAAGATAGTAAAATTACCAGTACGAGCAATTTTTTCTATTCCCCTTACCCCTCTCTCCTACAAACAGAGATTGAGAGTGTACGTAAGTAAACTTGCCCGGTATAGAAAACTTATCTTGTGGTACTTTTATTACAATTCCAGAAAAAGGACGTAAATAGGATTGAAAACAATTATGAGATAAAAGAATGGACATGGAACCCAAGGCAATCAAGAACATAACCTAAAACATAGTAAATAAAATTAACATAACCTCTTTCTTTTAACATAAAAAATAAAACAAATAATATTGACATATACAAAGTTTTTGTTTGTTGTTTTATTCAAGTTTATCATATACAAAAATATAATATTAATCAATTATGTTGTTGTTTAAAAATTATCATAAATTTCTTTAATAGAAAAAAAATACTTATAATTTACACAATTTTAAAATAATAAAATAAATTGATAAAAAAATAACTTGGCGAGAAATTCTCAAAACGCACACAATACTTGTTGTAATGGTGTTTTTCTGCTACCTAACATCAATTTAAAAATAATAATAAATCAATAATTCTTCAAAATGGTGTTGCTATGAATGCTATAATAAAAAAATATTGTGGGGGTTTCAAAATGGGAAATCAAATATTTGTGGGTGGAGGAAAAAAAAATAATATAAAAACAAAAACAATTAATTCACATTTGATATGATTAAATTTATATCAGAAATAAAATTAAAATAATAATAATTAAACACAAAAAAAACATTAAGCAAAAAAATTTAGTTTTCATAAAACAAATATTTTGTCCCTTTCTGTTTTTTTTTTCATTTCTTTGAAACTGAGAAAGAAACAAATGATGTTGTTTTATTTTTTCTTTTTTCTGTTTACTTCTTTGAGTTCATATGCTTACAATCTAGGAGGGGGTGGTGTATGTAGAGCAATAATTAAACATAAATCACAAAATTATAATTATAAACGAAAGTGTGTAGATATTTTGTTTTTTTTTTCTTGGAAATACTTAAAATTAAATAGACATATTTTAATAATTATTATTTTTATATAGAAAAAAACACTTGCGAGTTTTACGCACATCTTTTTTAAAAAATATGTTTTTTGTTTTGTTTTAAAACTAAAAACCAACAAAGGAATAATTGAGTGTTTTTGTTTTTAATTATGTATCAATAATTAAATGAGAGTTTAAAGATTACCTTTTAAGGAAGGTAAGCTAAAGTTTTTGTTTTACTGACTTAATTGGCTATTAGATTTTTATATCGCTTGGAGTTGTTTAATTTTCACATATTGTTTTGTCTTCTTTTAAATTACTATTAAAAAGCTTATCGAGTTTTATGAAAAAATAATTTCCATTGATAAAAAACAAAATTATAGCAAATTAAAATAATTGTGTTTTGTTTGCTTAATTTTTATACATGAAATCTTTTTTAATCATATATTTTTTTAATTTTATTTTTGTATAAAAATCTAATTACGAATGCTTTTCATCTTTATCAAAATTCTAATAACTATGAAAAAAATTAATATTAATAATATTATCAGTTTTTAGTTTTACTTATTCTCTATATACATACTGATGTCCTTTTCAATTAATGGGGGGTCTTTTTTAATTTGTTATTTTCATATTTTTCCAAACTGTAGTTTTGTTATGCAAAACATTTTTCTAATGTTTTTTTTTACAAATTTGGCCAAAGTTTTAATTTTGTTTATATATAAAAAAATTTCCAGTTTATCTATATCATGATTTGCAACACTCTGAAATCATGCAAAAATTTCTTCAGCTAACTTATATTTTTAATAGTTCTTTTGTCGATTACTTCTTACTTTCCTTTTCTTGTTAATTTAAAATATTTTTATAACTAAATTCTTTTTATTCTCATCAGTGCTTTTGAATTTGTTTTTCTTCTTCTTCCTCTTTTGTTATACTTAGATATTGGCATTTTATAAATATATATATTTTTAATAATTATTTTTTCAAGACGTGTGAAGCTTATAATGAATTTTATTTAAATGTCTCCTCTGCAGAATAATTGCTGGGAATCGTGGGCTTGCACACCGGCCCACGAGTTTCCTTGTGTTTTTTGATGATGAGGGGGAGGATGTAATATGTTAAGTTATTATTTTTAAATAATAGTAATAAAATTCAATGGAATTGGGCTTTTAATCGGTGAGTGTTTGTGCCACTAGGGCCAGTTGTTCCTTGAGCACGCGGAATGATGGACGCTCTTCGGGGCCATGGGACCAACATTTCTTCATGACCTGTAAGAGGAGAAAAAAAATGGAAAAATGTATTAGAAAATTTTAAAACGGATATAAAAAAATAAATAATCTAATAAAAAATGTAGTCGAATGATTTGAAAAGAAAGCTCAATGCTTTAGTGGAGCTGTCCGTAACAAATAATCACTTATATTGAAAATTTATGTAAAGTAGATAATACCAACTATGAACCTTATTTGAATGCCTATTGTGACTTTGGAGCAGTTATAATTTGGAATCAGACTGAACTTATATATGAGAGGAATATCCAATTCTGAATCGATTTGCAAAAATTTGACTTATTTCTAGGCTGAATTAGGTCGTATCCATGCTATTTAAACTGATATTATACGTTTGGGGCACAAGAACCTGACATTAAATGAAGATGTATGGATATGAAAGCTATATCTAAATTTGAACTCATTTCTATAAAATTTTAAAAGTAGCAAAATCTATTTATTTTGTGCTGATATTAATCATTTGTTGCACTATAAACTTAAAACCGGATAAAGATGTTTATGGGAGCTATACCTAAGTCTGAACTGATCTCGACAAAATTTCTGAGCTATGTTATATATATTTTCCCAAATATTGTTGTCATGCAGTTCATATTACGGCTCTGAGGGAAATATAACAGATCTTACTTGATTTTCACCAAATTTGACATATTTGCTCATAGGCTCATTTTGGTCGCTCGTGCCAAATTTTATGCTATTTGAACTAATATTACCCATTTTGTTTTCAATAAACGACAAATCTAAATACTGAGCGAACAGATGATTTGTGCAACATTTCATCTCGATCGGGCAATAAATGCCCATAAATGCATGGACCGATATTCATAAATCGACTCGATCGAAAGTGATTCCATAACGATCATTAAAAGTAATTTTAGGTCTATATCGTCCGACAGCTGTTAAAATTATTCCAGTGACAGCTCATTATATTGTTTACAAGCGTACAAAAGCATTTTGGTGAGAATTTTCCAGAAAAAAGTTATTCGTGATGGAATTTAAGCGTGATAGTGTCATTTCTTTATATACAAGTGACCATCGTTAGAGCACTCCAGCATTTAAATGTAAATAAATCTTTTGTATCTCGTACCATCGCTCGTTACGGCGATACTGGTAGCGTAGTCCGACGTCAAGGAAGTGGACGAAAGAAAACACAACATCAGCAGAAATGGTTCGAAAAGTAAAGAAGCGACTTGATCGAAACACGCGTCGCAGTGTCCGAAAAATGGGCTAAACATATCGCAATATTCCATTCGGCAAATATTGAAAAATGAGCTCGGGATAAAGCCATTGAAATCCCAAAAAGCGCAAGAACTTACACCGCAACGGAAAGAAGCTAAAGAGTGGCTACGCTTGGTCGAAAGTGGTGAACTGCCGATTTTTGTTTTCTCCGGTTGGCCACCAGAACTCAAGCGCCGGCCATTGTGATGGTGTGGGCCCACATAACAGCCGATGGTCGCTCTCTGCTCGTATTAATCGACCGTGGCATTAGAATAAATACCGAATATTATCGCGAAAATATTGTGGAGGGTGTATTAAAGCCTTGGGCACGCAAACATTTTGTCCGGAGACCTTGGACATTCCAACAGGACTCAGCACCATCGCACTCAGAACGCGCCACCCGAGAATGGTTACAAAATGAGGTTTCTCGCTTTATTTCCAGCGCACAATGGGCACCAAAATCTCGGAATACCAATCCGTTGGGCTATTGTATCTGGAGTATTTTGGAAAGCAAGTTTGGCACTAAAAAATACCAAAGTGTCGATCACCTCAAGCAAGCGCATCGCCGGGAATGGGCCAAAATACCGCAGATCAACATTCGGACAGCGTGTAACGGTTTTATCGGCCGTTTGAAGGCCATAATTCCTGCCAAAGGTGACCAATTCGAACAAATCTAAGCTTATTCTAAAATTTGATGCTATTTCTGACATTTTTTGCTTTCATTCAATAAAATTTTTTATAAAAATGAAAAAATTATGGCGCTTGACCTTGTTGCAGTTTTTTTTTATCTCACCCTATATCTATCTCTGTATTGACTTGCTTCGATCCCCTTTAAATGGAGTTTTTAATAATATTTTGAAAAAAAAAAAACGATAAAGTGTTGCTGATTATCCAATAATATCAGTGCTAAAATCTCACCGTAAGGGGTAGGACCTATATGAAATATACACTTTTTGCTTTTATTAATTATAATATTATATCCATTTTCACCATACTCGGTCATTTAACACGAAATTAGAAATACATCAAATAGTATTAGTTTTGCAAAAATAACAATTTTCCCTTCCACTGACATCTCCTGCTATTTCAATATATTAACACTAAATATTTTATAATTTATATCTTAAATAACCCATACTTACATCATAAATTTCTTTAGCGCATGACTTTGGTTTCTCTAAAATAATACCACGTTGGACACGTTCAACAACTTCAGTATTCTTTAGACGGCCATAGGGCATTTTGCCGCAAGTGAACACTTCCCACATAAGGACACCTGCAATACAAAATAAATGCATTTTAGTAAAAAAAAAAATGTTAAAATTCATTGTTACTTACCATATGCCCAAACATCACTTTTCGACGAGAAGCGAGTATAATTCAAGACCTCTGGTGGTGCCCATTTAATAGGAAATTTGGTACCACCCGAACTTGTGTACTGATCATCCAATACATAACGGGCTAAACCGAAATCGGCTACCTTAACGACATTTTCCGAGCCGACCAAACAATTACGTGCAGCCAAATCGCGATGTATGTAATTGTGACGTTCCAAATAGGCCATGCCTTTGGAGACCTACAAAAAGATTACAATTTTAATTTGCCTTCTTTTAAACAAACCATGGACTAAATTTTAATTAACTTACCTGTATGCACATATCAAGCAATAGACCCATGTTACCAATCAATGTTGTCTCATGACGCCGCAAATAGTTCAGCAAGGAACCATGTTTCATGTATTCCGTGACTATATAAATCGGACGATGTTTGGAGCATACACCATAGAGTTGCACCAAATTTGGATGTTGTAATTTGGTCATAACTTTGGCCTCCTCAATGAAATCATCCTCGGACATGGTACCCTCTTTCATCATTTTGACGGCGGTGTCAATGGAACCACGCCATTTTCCGCGACGCACAACACCAAATTGACCCGAGCCGAGTTCTTCCATCAACATTAATTCCATGGGATGGATTTCCCATTTATCTGTAAAACAAGGAGGGACAAATTTTTTTAATTTAGATTTTTTGCCTTAAGGAGAAATTAAATCTGAATGTGGAAGTGTACTTACCATGTGATAAACCTGCCGTTGGCGGTACTGGACGATCACATGGCGATGATTTTAAACGGCATGCCAAGCCACCGGAATTATGCCGATGATAGTTGATTAGATCTGGTATAGTTTCGCAGCAATGTTTCTCACTTAAATAATATTCTCCGCGAGCATTCTGTTTGATGTGATAGTGTTTGACATGTGATTGGGGACTGGAAAGAACATTGAACAAACAATTAATAATAATAAACGATTGAAAATCATATTGTTCATTTTATATCAGTACATCTCACTTATACACAAGGACTCCGACATTTAGGTTTGTTTTAATATTTAAATAAAGGTTTTTAAAAACCCCTATTAAACCCTATATCGACAAGTAACCGAAATAGAAGAGAAAATTTCCTCCATTTTGCACATTTTGTAAAAATTTAGGATTCAAATTCCTTGAAATCTATGTATTTGAGAACAACAATGAAAACAATACAAGGATTATTTTGGTGGAAAATTTGAGCCCACAAGCGAGTTTTGTCAAAATATCATTAAAAAATCTCTTTAAATAGGATCGTAGCAAGCAAGATCGTAACAAGGTAATAATATTTTACAAATTAATCAGTCGTAAAATTTTATTTCAGGCCCCTGAAGATATCAAAAGTCTAAATCTAATCTAAACTACAGGAATTCATATACATTATAAATACATTTTAAGCTTAAAATGTGTATTATGTGAGTTTATGCAAAATTCTCCAACAAAGCATAATTTTAGAAAGATGACCTCAAAGACAAAAACATTCCTCACCAAATTTCACTATAAGTCACCCAGGAAAATAAATCTATATTTCCATTATATATAAAGAAAATCTTTGTTAATTATGCCGAAAAAACCGAAAATATTTCGTAATTATTTGCTAAAATTTTCCCCCGCCTTTTTTCGAGTTGACGTATGAAAGTAACATTAAATTTCATTTAAGACAGAGGTGATCAAAGCATGAAATATTCTACACAAAATTTCGCTATAAATCTTAGAATGAATCACACATCTAGGTATTACAGTTCTTGAAAAAAATTACATTATAAATTGGTCTGTTAGAAGTGAATGCTATCCATTTACGTTATTTACTGCTAATTTCCAAGTCAAAATCTTTTTTAAAACTTATTTTTTTGGGGTAAGTGTCATTGTGCGTGTCTGAGCAAAAGAAAAGTGTAAACTTAATATGTACCACAAAAAATTATAATCAATTTTGGTTCATAAAAAAATGTCCATTCTCGGCCAATTTAGCATTGACTGGACATTTTCTTAAGTCCAGGCTGTTTTATAGCCAGTCTTGGTTGTGGAAAATTCCAAGTGGATGTATAGTATTCGGTTTGTAAAACAAAGTCCCAAAAGAGTTTCGGGGTTTGAAGTCCTTCACATAACATTGATAAAGGGCCTCAAAGTTTTGAGATATATTTCGCAAGATTAAATATGGACAATTTATAGAAATCTTTGAATTACTTCAAGAATCCTTGGTATAAAAAATGGGCTATGTCGGTGCACGTTATAGTATAGTCCCTATATAAGGGTAAACCTCGATCTCAAGAATTATTTGTGATTTAGTCATATTTTCCATTTAATTTTGCCAAATGTTGGTAAAATGAGTTCTTTTATTGAGAAACGCGATGTAGAAAATGATCAATTTACGTTTTGGTACAGCCCTTTGATAGCGATATCCTCTGATATTATTAAAACTTTCTAATCAATGTTGCGAAAAAAAAAATTGTATTTTGGAAAAATTACGACAGAATGTAACGGGCCCTTACAGAAAAAATTGAAGAATCATTTTTGAAGGTCTTCCCTAGCAATTATGGTAAGTTTCTTAAAAATGATTTTGAGAGTCTACTGCAGCGGAAGACTTCTAGAATTCCTTTGAAAATGCTTTCATATTTTATTGATTGATTTTATTAGGAATATTATTAAAGAAAACGCACAGCTTCAGTCAAGGACCTTTTTAGTATGTTTTTCGGAGAATTTTTTTTTTTAGCTATATCCTATTCGGAGGATTTTTTTAGCTATATATATTTTTTTTAAGAATATTTTTAAAGGACCCTCGCAGTTGCAATTGTAAAATTGTATATCATACTTTTTAAGGGGTATTACAGCGCTAAGACCTTATATTTTTTGGATAACAATTCTTGCTGTATTGTGGCTGTAATCGTGGACTTTTTACGAATACTTTTTGAAGAGCCATCGCACAGCTATTATTATAGATTTATATACAATAATTAGGAAAGAATCCTAACAGCAATAACCTAAAATTACTAGGCCTAAATTTTTAAATTCTATAACAGATTTAATCATGAATTTTTAATAATATTTTTCAAGGTATATTGACACAGTAATCGAAATTTATTTAAGAATTATTTTTCAAGAATTACCACAGCCTAAATGGTAAATTTTCAAGAAAGTTTTTTACCCGACCCTCTCTTATGTGATCTTGAATTTGCATGAAAAAGTTTTCAAGGATTCTGCAAACTGCAATCGTGATTTTTTAACGAATTCTTTTTGGAGGACCCTCAGTGACATATTCAAAGAATACTTTTTGAAGGTCTTCCACTGCAATAATGGTGAATATTAAAATGGAGCTATTTGATCTATTGCAGGAGTAGAATCGTTATTAGATTGACTTTTTAAAGGATATTATAAAAGGGATATGAAGGGACTTTTATACAATGTTTTTTTCGCTTCAATAATGGATTTTCTAAGAATACTTTTTTAAATGGTCTTTTGGGCGTTTGATTTTGGTTTTAAGAGAGATTTAAAGCTATAATTGAGGTTTATTTAAACATCATTTTTCAAGGGCTACTACGGATTAAATCTTGGATTTCTTAAGAACATTTTTCACAAGATCCACTTGGATATGATCTTGAATTTGTTGCCAATAAACGTCAGGGACTCTGAGGGCTATAACCGTGGATTAGTTTTGAGGTTTTGAATAACTATGAGAGCTGAAATCGTGAATTTTTTTGAGGGATCGTGACTATTTTAAGAAATTTCTTCAATAATTCAATAAAAAAATATATTTTTAAGTATTCACAAAGCTATAATATTGATACCCTATTCATGTAATCTCACTTGACAACATGACCTAAAAAGACGGGAATGCTACCTAAAGAGTCTTAACTATCATGCCTTTTTCAACGGATGACAACTTCTGACTTTCAAATTCGTTTGAAAATTGTATAACAACATTAATAAAATACTTACACTTTGGTATGCAGCGATAGTGTATATAAACCTTTTGTTGATGATTTACGCACCACAAAACAGCCTTCTTTGTCGCCTTGCTTCAATAAGGATTCGGCACGTTGACGTGACATATCGCCGACGTACCATCTAAAAACAAACAAAAACATAATTTGTTATACAAAAATGACCGTTAATAAGTCATATAATTTCAACACTCACTCATAACGTTCCAGACCCAGCAAAGCTTTTGGTTTGACATAATTGCTGGGTATATAACCGACATTGCCCATGGCATCTTTGACTTTCCACCAATGTTCCTGGGAATCATCGATAACTTCATATTCGGCATTCTATGGAAAGGGAGAGAGGGGAATGGTTATTAATTTCTTTCTCTCAAAAAATTAAAATTTTAAACTTACCTTTTCCAATGAAAGATCACCACCTTCAATGGCCTTGAAGGGATATAAAGCTACGACAATTTTAACAAAATGTGAATTGTCCTGGAATGAAGAATAACAATTAATTAATGTTTTAATAAAAAATATAAAAAAAATCTTTTAAAATAAATGCCGATACAAGAGAATGTAAGAACTGACTTTTGTAGAGAGAGAATAAATCTAAAGTGTTTGTTCTTTTTTAAATAAAAATTTTTAGTCCATAGAGATATTTTTAAGGCATTTAATTTCAAAATTTTGAAAAAATCGATTATATTTTCCACATTTTTAACATCTCTCAGCTACATCGTTATCATACTCACCTTAGCTTTAGAGTTTGGCGTTCCCGGAGTTGGTATACCACCTGGCATTGTGTTATCCAATAGAGAACCGTTACCGTTTAATAAATTTGGTGACTGTTTAAATGTGGATACCGATGACTGAAAATCGTAAAAATAAATATTTTGATTAGTTTTGTGTTTTTTTTTTATAATTTTCTCAATCGTAAAACTAATTTGTTTATTGTTTGATTTTTATGGAGGCCATAAAAAACTGTTTTGATTAAACAAACTTTTCATTACCTGTGGATGCAGCGATGTGGGCGTTGAACTACCTATACTGCCAGAACTATTGTGATGCAAACTAAATTGACTCGTCGATGTGGAATTATTTGGACTAATGCTGCGCTGTGATATCTGGGCTGGTGAACTACCAGTACCTGGAAAGAAAACAAGAATCAAAAAATTGTTAGAAATGATTATCAATAAATGTTCTTAATAAAAAAGGAATGATAATTTAGTTTAATCCATAAAAATATATTATTTAATACAAGTTCAGAACTAATTAAAATGATTTGAACTTTTTAGGGTTAATAATGACTATTACGAATTTATTTGAGGGATTTTTGTGAATATTTCCAGGAATACGAGAAAAATTACAATTACAACGTTTTTTAAGAAATTTTTTCAATTTTTCAACATTTGATAGGCTAATAGAGAAATGTGAATTTTTAAAAATCCTTATTAAAATGAGATACAAAACTTGATATTTTTAAACATTATATAGAATGACAGTCACAGCCATGAACTTTTTGAGGCCCGTCAGATCTGGATAATCGAATAATATTTTTTGCAGGACAATATGGTTTTCAAACGTGTTGTGTTTTAGAAATGATTTTTAAGGACCATTTAATTGTTAACTATGGATTTTTATAGTTTATTTTAAAAACCTTCTTGAAGAACCTCCAGAAGGCCCTGTGTGTGGTGTTTCAAAGAATGTTTTTAGAGGACCATCTGAACCATGAACATGGATATTTTATATTTACAAGGATCAACGGAACATAAATAAATGCCACACTTTTTAAAAATATTTTTTTAATACTTGTTAGATCCTGGAATGGAGTTTTCCTTTAGAAATGTTTTTAAGGAACATATGAGCTATAAACGTGGAGTTTTTAAAGAATATTTTTGGAAAGTTGTCCGGGAAATGAATATGAATATTAAAAAATATATTTTTAAAGGATATTCTTCAGGGACTATCTAAACTATATATAAGACTTAAGGGTTGCTAAAAACTTTAACGTGGATTTATTAAAAAATATATTATTCGGGAACAATTGGGAATAAATCTGGACTTTTAAGTTTTTTTTCGAGGATCTTTAGAGCTGTAAACGCGTTTTTAAAGAATATTTTTTGGAGAATGTCTGGGCTATGAATGTGAATTTCAAAAACTGAAATTTGAATTTTTTGAAGGATTATTTTCAAGGAGTATCTAAATAATTTAGGTGGATTTAAAAAATATTTTTGAAGGACTGTCAAAGCCTTCAACTTGGACTTTTTAAGGGCTGATAGACTTTCATTTTTTTTGCAAATTTTTATGAATTATTCTTAGAGTCTTCAACGTGGATTTTTAATAAATATTTTTGAAGAAATATCGACGTGGATTTTTTAAAGGTCTGTCAAGATCGTAAACTCGGTTTCGATTAATGCAGTTATTTAAAGGAGCGAAAACTCCAACGTAGATTCTTTGCAAATATTTTTTAAGGACTTCAACGTGAACTTTTTTCTTAAATATTTTTAAAGGACCCCAAAATTGATTTTTTGTAAATAATTTTATGGGACTTCCTCAAGGACTTTTTCTAAGTATTTTCGAAAGACTTGAACGTGGATTTTTGAAAATATTTTTGTAGGCCTTTCTCACTGATTTTTATAAATATTTTAAAGGACTTCGACGTGGATTTTTTCTAAATTCTGTAATATTTTAGTGGGACTTTAATGTTGAAGTTTTGCAAATAGTTTTGAGGGTCTTTTTTAGAAGTTTTTGAAGGACTATCAAAAAAGGAAGGAAGGACTAACGAAGAACTGTCAAGCCATCAACATGGATTTTTTTGGAAGACCGAAACGTATATTGTTTGCATTATTTTTGAAGGATTGCTAGAGTCTTAATAATGGATTTTTTGTAAATAATTTTTAAGGCTTCCCGCGTTATTTTTTTGTTTATTTTTTGAAGGACATTAATTTTTGCAATTTTTTGCAAGAGAATTCGTGGATTTTTGGTTAATTTTTTCAAGGATTTCAATACGGATTATTGGAAATAATTTGAAGGGCTGCGAAATCTTTAAATGTGGATCTTTTTTGTAAATGCTTTTGAGAAACTCTTAATAACGAAAAAATTAATAATAACGAAAAAATTGAATTTTTGGGAATATTTTTCAAAGGACTCTTCGTGGAACGAATTTTTGAAAACAGTAAAGGATCCTCCAAGATAAAAAAATGTAGATTTTTTTTGAAAATATTTTTACAAGAAAAGATTTTAGAGTAATTTTTATATACAGGCATTAAAGGACTAATTGGTTAAGAGTGGCGTAAAAAGACTTTTCTGGAGGACTGTTAATTTTTTTTTAACTTTTGAAAGCTGAGATTGGGAATTTTTAGAACATATTTAAAGGAGCATCATTGTTGACTTTTGGAGGGCATTTTATAGGGAGCAATAACTGTGGATTTTTGAAGGATTATTTGAAATATGATCGTTGATTTTTGAAGGGAACTTTAAGAGCAATAATTGTGGTCACGTGAAAATGATTTTTGAAGAACAATAATTATGGAATTTAAAGGACATTTTTAAGGGACAATAATCGATAATTTCTGATTGGCTATTTTAGCTGAAACATTAAAATAAAAAAAAAACACATTTTGAGCAATAATCGTAACTTTTGAAAGGACATTTTTAAGAAGCAATAAGCGTTGAATGTTGGAGGAAATTTTAAAAAGTCTTTTGTCGCAATAATCTTGAATTTTTAAAAGAGGAATAATCGTAGTCGTTTAAATGGGATTTTGAAGGAATAATAATTTAGGAAATAATTGGAAATTAAAATTTGGATTTAAGGGTATTTTAAAGAAGATAAAGTGGTTGAAATTTGAAGTGAACTTTCAAGAGATTTTGCAGGTAAGATATTCTATACATGGAAGAGTTGTGGAAGGAATTCTTTCCATGGAAGATGTGTGGAAGATCTTTTGTCCATATAAGACCTGAGGAAACCCTTCTATCCAGAGATGGCCTGTGGAGGGTCTTCTATCAACAGAAAACCTGTAGACTGTAGAAGACGTTGGCGACCTACAGAATATCCTTTATGCACATAAGACCTATATATGGTCTTTCATCTATGAAGAACATGTGAAAGGTCTACAGATAAAAAGCTGGTAAACATTACCATCGTTCTCCACTAATAAACAAACGTTGTTTTTATAAAAACAACAATGAAGGGATAAGCCTGACCATTTTGCAACAACAAAAAACAAATTTTCAATTAAAACATTGTGGGACCATTTGAATATTTACCATTTCGAAAAGGTTTTGGCTCCTTTTAAGGAGCATAATTCTGAAACTTTAAGAGACTTTTTATGGAGCAATAATCGTTTAAAGTTGAAAGGGGTTTAAATAGGATTTTAGCAGCAATAATCTTGATTTTTAAATGAGAAATAATTGTGGTTTTTAAGAAACAATAATCTTGGACTTAAAAAACATTTTAAGGAGGAAAAACTAGGATTTTTAAAGGACTATTTCAAATATGATCATGCATTTTTAATGGCAATTTTCCAAAAAGGACTTTTGAAGCAATATAAGAGGCTTTAAAGGTCACTTCTAAGAACCCCTGTACAGCTGTCATAGTCCTATAGCTAAAATGCCTATTAAAAGTTGACTAAGGTTATTGGAAATATGATTGTATATTTTTAAGGACATTTTACTGGGGGCTTTTTAGCAATATTCCATAAGGCTATAATGGGTCTTTATGTTATATTGTAAAATTTGTTTGAATCGCTGGTAAAGTTTTTATTTTCAGATCTCAAAACACCAACTGACCCATAATTAATTTATTTAATTTTTTTTGAAGGACTCATTCCAAGTAACAATAATTTGGCCTTTTAACATACATGTGTAGCAATTTGTGTTATTCTTTCTAATTATTATTTTTTTTTTTGTCGACATTATTTCAAATAATCAATCAAAAATACTGCTAGCTTCCTTCCTAGTTTAAATGCCTACGACTTTTAACAATGTTTTGTTGTTGCTGTTCATTGAATCATTGAAACATTGAACAATTTCCAATTCCAATGGTGATTAATTACTATTTAAATTGGTGTATTGAATTAAATTGGAATCATGTTTTGTTTTTTTCTTCTGATTCGATTTTATCGGCTAAAAAAAACACACAAATGATGTATTGAAATCAATAATAAATTAAAAACAACAAATATTTTGCAATGAATCACTAATAATTATAAGCCGAGAGAAAAAAACGCTTGTGTTTCTTCTTCATCGTTGTGATAAATTCAAGGTTGCCTCGACACGACGGATGATATATTTTAACGAATCTTAATGACTTATAATTATCACACCATGCATAACCGTTTTTAGTTCCGATTTGAAACTCTAATGATTGAAATTATCTGATGAGAATCATAATTCATATATATCATTATGTGAATGAAATCGCTAAATATTTCATGTCAAAATTGATTTCGTTTTTTCTACGGATATTTCCTATTGTTTTGACTAGTTTGTGATTTGCAAATTGTTTAATTGCCGGGTTAAAGCTCTGCGCTTGTTTGAAATATTTACATGAAATCGTGACAAAATGTCACTCACCGGATTTATTATCGTGGTCTAATAAAAAAACACACTACAAATGAAGCCGCACACAAAAATTTTCCCTATGTTAATTTTTGCCATTTTCCTTTCAAATGCCATTTCAAATGAAAAAAAAAATAACAACTGCAAAATGTAAGTGAGAAATAGTTTACACTGAATATTACATAAAGCCCTATTATTTATTTGGTTTGTCGCTGTCGTTGTTGTTATTGTTGTTGCTATATATTTGTGTAAATTATAGATGACAAGCAAACAAAAGATTTAAACGAGACACGCACACGATTCGTTATGTACGTTTGCAAATAAAGTGTCGGCTGTCACATAATAAAAACAAAAGACTTAAGACACATACTTGGTTTCAATTGTTTGGTTTTTGGCTTTGAAGGCTGTAAGAGCTATTAACTTGCATTTTTTTGAGAATATTCGAAATGGGGACCAAGAGAGCCAAACACAAAGATTCAGGAATAGAATTTTTGATGGGGATCAGTAAAAGTGCTATTTTTTCAAGGACCCTACTAGTTACAAGATGTGGACTTTTTTTTTTTTGATAATGATTTTGATGAACGGCGA